GGAGCGGGAACAGAGAAGATATATTTCTGAGGGAGCGGGTGGGCGCGGGACAGAATCTTGCAGGAGCGGGACTGAAAAATCCGTCCCGCGCAGGTCTCTAGTCCACAGCTCTGATATAAACTGACTTTTTATGAAGAAAAAGGAGGATGGGCCCTTCAATGTGTCCTGTTCCAACTTCCTGTTTCGATAGGAAGTACATGCAAACAGAAAAGAAATCCACTCAATTTATTTTCTTTTTAAAGAGACCATATCCTACAAAACCTTGTTTCCACCACAGAATAAAAAGGATGATTGCAAAATTCCACAATTTTGATATAAGTTTATATCTCACAATTTTTCGTTAACGGCTCACAATTCTGATGTTTTTCTTTTAGAATTTTAAGTTTATATTTCAAAGTTTTAACTAAAAGTCTAAAGCTAAAATGTAAACTTAGAATTCTGAGAAAAAAATTCTTAATTGTGGAATATAAGCATAGAGTTCTGAGAAAAGTCAGAATTGTGAAGTGTAAACTCCAAATTATGAGAACAATAGTCCAAATTGTGAGATGTAAACAGAATTCTAAGGAAAAGGTCTGAATTGCAAGATAAGTCAGAATTCTAAAAGGGGGAAAAGTGTCAGAGTTGCGAGATGTAACAAAAAAAGTTTGATTTGTGAGATAAGAGTTCAGAATTCATGAATTCAGAGAAAATAAGTCTGAATTGTGAAATGTAAACTCTTGAGTTCTGAGGAAAAAAAAGTCTGAATTATGAGAGTAAACGCAGAATTCTAAGACAAAAGTCAGAGTTGCGAGATGTAAACTCAGAATTGTGAGGTATGAACTAGAGACCTGCGCTCCCGCGGGAGTACCGCGGGACCCAATGCAACAGGGTGCGGCGCGGAACAACTCTTGATGGGCGGTTGCGGGCGGGAAGAAACTCGTGTGTGTGCGGGATGCGGGAGAATAAAATGATTCGCGGGACTCCCGCAAAATAGAAATTATCTAAACATAAAGTGTCTAAAACATATAAATTGTTGTTTATCTGTTGCACAAAAGCAAAAAGAACAACTAATATTAACATTAAAATTATTGACATGCTTAGCCTAAATAACAAATATTTTATCGAGAGTGTTTATGCTGGGATGTTGTGGAGCTGTTACAGAACCATTTCTTGTAAATTTCTAAAAAAAAAATCTATATAGATTACTTTTTTGTGGGCGGGAGCGGGACAAAACATGAATGTCGCAGGCGGGACCAGATAAGATATATTTCTGCGGGCACGGGAGAGAATCTTGCGGGACTGAAAAATCCATCCCGCGCAGGTCTCTAGTATGAACTCATGATTGTGAGAAGTAAGAATAGTGGATTATGTCACTATTGAATTCTTTAGTTTTTTTTTTTCTTTTGTGGCAGAAACAGGCTTCCATAATATCTTGCCATTTGGTAGCTTTTAGTTCTTTTGCCTGAGATAAGTGTATAACATTATTCAAGGTTTTTTTGTTTTTTTCAACCACAAAGAATGTAATTTTTCATGCCCATTTGCCACCCTCTCTGACCTTTGCTCAGAATCTGTCTGTTTTTACAGCTGTGACTCTAATCTTGATGTGCTCTGATTGGCAGGCGGAGCGTGTGCACGAGCTGAACGAGGAGATCGGGAAGCTGCTGGCGCGAGCGGAGCAGCTGGGCGGCGAGGGGAACGTGGAGGAGGCGCAGCAGGTGCTGGAGAAGATGGAGAAAACACGCACCCTGAAGAAAGAGGCAGAGGTCGGTGTGGGGTCAGAGGTCATGGTGAAAATATCATTGTGGTCCTCAGTTCTAGCTCTAGATCTTAAATCACAAATAAAATTTGATTAGGTATTTGTTGTTGTTTTTGTTTTTTTATTTATTTATCAGTTTACAATAACAACAATACAAAAAAAATCTACATTAAATAGCATCAGTGTAGACAGATATGAAAACATACATAATCAAATCCGATTTGTTAACAAATTAAAACTGAAATCAAATGATAGCACATGAATGGTCAGTGAGATAACAATGGATATTAAGTTATATAGGCACGAGTCAAAGGGTTCATACTAGGTCCAAAAACATATTCCAGGTCTCTAAAAAGATGTGGCTGTATGTTAAATATTCCATGTGCAGTGTGTCGTTTATGATATTCTCAGATAATCGATTAGATGTGTTTTTGTATTTGCAGTTAATTATGTTGTTGTGTTTAGGACATCTACCGTAACTCCATGCCGGCCTCCAGCTTCCAGCAGCAGAAGCTGCGGGTGTGTGAGGTTTGCTCCGCTTACCTCGGTCTCCACGACAACGACCGCCGCCTCGCCGACCACTTCGGAGGGAAACTTCATATAGGTTTCATCGAAATCCGGGAAAAACTTGAAAAACTGCGGGTAAGATGACGGCTCACAGCTCAGTCGGGGCTGGTGTCACGCAGCTCTTCATAGACGATCTGCTCTGTGATTCGCAGAAGGCTGTGACGGAGAAACAGGAGCGCATGCGCACGAGGAGAAGAGAGGAGCGCGACAGAGAGGAGGAGCGAGCCAAAGAGTGGGAGGTGGAGAAAGAGAGGGAACGCGAGCGGGAGCGCGAGAGGGAACGAGAGAGAGAGCGCGAGCGGGAGAGAGACAGAGAGAGAGAACGCAGGAGGTCCGTCTTGGTGCTCTGCTTTATATATAATTATTTTTTTGTTTTGTTTACAAATTCAATGTCAGCAGTAGAGCAGCTCTACAGAGGAGAATAAGATCATTATTCTGTTGGGTTCAATGTTGATTCGGGTCGGTTTAGATTCAGTTCAGTTCGGATTCAATAACTGTGTTGAAGTTCTCAAACTATAAAGCAGCTCTACAGAAGACAATAGTGTCATTATTCAGCTCAGTTATTAAGGGTTGATTAATTTCAGATTCACTTTTATTTCAGTTCAGATTCAATAACTGTGACGCAAAGTGTCATTATTCAGATTGACTGAGTTCAATGTTGATTCAGTTCATTATATGTGACCCTGGACCATAAAACCAGTCATAAGGGTCCATTTTTTGAAATTGAGAAGATAACAATGGATATTAAGTTATATAGGCACGAGTCAAAGGGTTCATACTAGGTCCAAAAACATATTCCAGGTCTCTAAAAAGATGTGGCTGTATGTTAAATATTCCATGTGCAGTGTGTCGTTTATGATATTCTCAGATAATCGATTAGATGTGTTTTTGTATTTGCAGTTAATTATGTTGTTGTGTTTAGGACATCTACCGTAACTCCATGCCGGCCTCCAGCTTCCAGCAGCAGAAGCTGCGGGTGTGTGAGGTTTGCTCCGCTTACCTCGGTCTCCACGACAACGACCGCCGCCTCGCCGACCACTTCGGAGGGAAACTTCATATAGGTTTCATCGAAATCCGGGAAAAACTTGAAAAACTGCGGGTAAGATGACGGCTCACAGCTCAGTCGGGGCTGGTGTCACGCAGCTCTTCATAGACGATCTGCTCTGTGATTCGCAGAAGGCTGTGACGGAGAAACAGGAGCGCATGCGCACGAGGAGAAGAGAGGAGCGCGACAGAGAGGAGGAGCGAGCCAAAGAGTGGGAGGTGGAGAAAGAGAGGGAACGCGAGCGGGAGCGCGAGAGGGAACGAGAGAGAGAGCGCGAGCGGGAGAGAGACAGAGAGAGAGAACGCAGGAGGTCCGTCTTGGTGCTCTGCTTCATTTCACTCCCACAGATGTGTGCAAATCATAAGCAGCCCTTGATATCACAGCTGGAAAAGTATCTCCATATTTATGTACTTTCCTTCAAATCAGTGGAGCTCTAATAGTCAAGGCAAACCAAGTCACGTTTATTTCTGTAGCGCTTTATACAATACTAATTGTTTCAAAGCAGCTTCACCGTAAAAAAGTAAATCTAATAATAATTAAGGATGTAAAATATATATAAATATTGAGAAAATCGCCTTTAAAGTTGTCCAAATGAAGTTCTTAGCAATGCATATTACTAATCAAAAATTAAGTTTTGATATATTTACGGTAGGAAATTTACTAAATATCTTCATGGAGCATGATCTTTACTTAATATCCTAATGATTTTTGGCATAAAAGAAAAATTGATCATTTTGACCCATATATACAAATATACCCCAGCGACTTAAGACTTTTAAGAAGGTTTTGTGCTCCAGGGTATTTGTGCTACATATAGATTAAACAGCCAAATGGATTCAGAATGTTGAATCTAATAGTAACTTAAAAACTTAAAGAACTAGAAAACGGTGATCATTTTTGTTTTTTTTTTGCTATTTAGTTTGGTGATGTAGCCTAGTAAATCAGCAGTTACACATGCGTTAAAGCTGTGAAATTTCACAAAGAGCCTCCTGTGAACATTTTTTAAGAGTTGATACGCAAGTGATTTGAACCGATTCACTGAAGTTTGAAAGATCTGACTCACAGAAATGAATCAAACTATCTGACATTTAAATAACAAAAAAACAAACTCTAAAATATCTGTCGTAACACAGAAATGCACAAGTGTTTCATCAGGATGATTTGTTCTTCTTTACGTTTCTCTTTATCCTTCTGTTCTCAGGTCCAGATCCAGAAGTGGTGAGCGATATCGGTGAGGATCAGCTTCCTGTCGAGTAACATCTGTATCAGTAATAAAAAGGATGTGCTGTGATAAAATGATATCTTTCTCTGTGCTTCTCAGGGAAGGAGGAAGCTCGTCCTCCCATCGCTCTCGTCGGCACCGTGAGGATGGAGAGAGGGAACGAGACAGGGAGAGGAAACACAGACACAAAGATCACCATCGCTCTCGCTCGCACTCACACAGGAGCAAAAGAAAGAGGTACCACAACAACTCCAGCTTGACTCCACCTGTCTGACATCTGTTGTGGAGGAACTATTACATTTGAGCAACAAGGCATGATTTACAGTGATTTTACCAGAGTCAAGGGAAGTGAAATGTGATAAAAACAACAGCATTATAACATAACATTGATACCAGTGATCAATTAAAATGAATATACACATGTGGTGTGTTAACTGGTCATAGGTATATTTTAAATGAAGTAGTGGAAATTATTTTTAAGCTAGTAAATAATTTTTATTTGTAATATAAATGATTGGATTTTAAAAGTATTTTACCGTAGTCAAGGTGAGCTCAATGTGGTAAAATCAGTGTAAACAACATCATTATGACAATGATACCCATGTTCACTTAAAGTAAATACATGTTATGTACACATGTTGTGTGTTAAATGGTCATGATAAATTTTAAATGAAGTCATGGAAAACTTTTAATTATCAAATCATCTATATTTGGAATTTTAAATTAATTTAAAAATCATTAAACAATTATAAGATGTATAAATCTCAATTTCACAAAATTAACCCTTATGACTGGTTTTGTGGTCCAGCGTCACATATATATTATATAACATGACACTAATTGAAAATTATCATTTGAAATTACTTTTAACTAACTTATAAATTCTAAATATAAGTTTAATATTTTGTATTCAGAATTTGAAATTATTTTGAAATTATTTTTAAATATTTAATTAAATATTTCTGTTAATATAACAAAATTAGTTAAAATAAATGAACGTTTAATAAAAAAGTATATTCCCTGACACACTCACTCAGATACTCATATTCTGACGCTTCTGCTTGTTTCTGCAGGTCTTCACACACCAGAGATCAGGAGCAGCCTCTGTCTCAGGAGAGATGGCAGGAGAACGCCGCAGACGAGAGATGGTGGGACAACGGACGCAGGGACATGGAGAGAGAAGGATCCCCCGTCTCCCCAGACATGAGCCGGATGAGAGAGCGGGAGAGATCCGTGTCGCTGGAGAGAGATCAGCGCTCCAGCTCCGAGGAGAGAGAGTCCGGAGAGATCTAGAGGATCAGATCCAGATACTTTACATACTGTAGCTTCTGATCCCTGCTCCGATCTGTCAACAACTGGACCAGCTTTCCGTCCGGTTACTCATACATCAGTAGAAGCTCAGCAGCTACAGAGGGGAAGCCAGTCACAGATTGCTCGAGTGTGTGTGTGTGAGAGAAAGAGAGAGAGAGAGTGTGTGTGTGTGTGTGTGTGTGTGTGAGAGAGAGAGAGTGTGTGTGTGAGAGAGAGAGTGTGTGTGAGAGAGAAAGAGAGAGAGTGTGTGTGTGTG